ATGTAAGATCGATCTTGATGGAAAACAGAGTAACAGGAAGATGTTTACTTGTGTTGTATTGATTATGCAAAGGCATTCGGCTGTGAGGATCATAACAAACTACAGACAACCTTGTGGAACCTGTACAAGGAACAAGAGGCAGCTGTGCGGACAGACAAGGGGATATTACTGCATGGTTTAAGTCAGGAAAGGTATGTGTCAGGGACATATCCTCTCACCAAATGGAGTCAAACTGTACGCTGAGCCAATCATCTAAGGAGCTGGATGCTACCCAGAAGAGCGTGGGATGAGGATTGGAGGAAGGCTTATTAGCAGCCTGTGAGACAAAGATGGTATTACCTTGCTTACTGAACGTGAGGAGGACTCGAAACACGTGCTGATGAAGATCCAAGGTTGAAGCCTTCGGTACAAATCACAACTCAATGTGCAGAAAACAAAAGTCCTCACAATGTGACCAACAGGCAACCTTGCGGTAAGTGGAAAAAGACGGGCGCGGTCAAGGGTTTCATCTTGCGTGGCTCCACAATCAATGCTCGTGGAAGCAGCAGTCAAGAGAGCAAGCGATGCACTGCGGGGGGTAAGGCTGCTGCACAGGACCACTTTAAAGAGCAGAACGTCACTTTGAGGACTGAGGTGCCCTTGACCTGCGTCACAGTGTTGTCCATTGCCTCACATGCACGTGAAAAGTTGGACCAGGAATAAGGAAGGAAGACCCAGAAGAACTGGTGCATCTGAATTGTGGTGCTGGCAAAGCGTGTGACGTCCCGTGGGCTGCCGGAAGAACAAACGACTCCGTCTGGGAAGAAGTACGGCCAGAGTGCTCCTGGGAAACACGGGCAGTGTGACGTTGTCTCGCACACTTTGGACGTGTTGTCAGCAGAGACCAGTCCTGAGAAAAGGACATGTGCTTCGGGCAAAGTGGACGGGCAGTGAACGAGAGGAGACCGTCAAAGGCATGGCTGCAACGGGCTCAAACAACAACTGCAACCGGGACGCGGGTGCAGGACCAGAGAGGGTTTCATCCTGTTGTCCACGGGGTTTGTGTAAAGCGGACCCAACCGAACAGCACCAAACAAGCGCCGGTGGCAGAAGAGAGCAGGAGAACAAGAGGGAAGTGTAGTTTCCCAGCAGGAGGAGGATTTTCAAATATAGCCCCCTTAGCCATGCACACCTTGGTCTATAAGTCACCAGCTGACCGAGCTTACATACCTCACGTAGTCTTCGCTAAGCCTCACTTCTTTACCAATAATTGCGAAGTCTATGTACTAACAAGGAGCCCTGGTGGTGTAGTGGCTATGCATGAGAATGGAATCCAAAAGGTCAGCAGTTCAAAACCACCAGTGGCTCCTCAGGAGAACGACAAGGCTTTCTAATCCCATCAATAGTGAACCGTCTCAGGAACTCACAGAACCTGTCCTGCAGGGTTACTGTGAGTCAGCACTGACTCAATGGCAGTGAGTTTTTGTTTTGTGTATCTACTAACAGAATAGCAAAGTGCATTCCTTATATGCTCGGCCAACTAGAAGCAACAATTTTAAACAGCTTTCTTGAGGTAGAAGAGCTTCGATTATGCACACACTGTACAGCTTTCCCCTCAGGCCTGCGGCCTTTGTAATCCCACCTTCCAGCACCGGACAACAAGTGCTCTGCTTGTTACCACTTCAGTTTCCCCTTTACTGGAATTCTGCAGACCTAGAATCGCACAGTATGCAGTCTGTGTGTCTGGTTTCCTTCCCTCCGTCGACTTCTGGGATCCATCCCCATCACAGAGCGCATCGACGTCGTCCTCTTCATGCTCACTGGGCCCGTGCACTGACACAGTAACCGCTTCCCCACACACTGTGGCTGAACGCACGAATCTATGCCCAAGTCTTTGTGTTAGCCGCTGGAATGATTGGGCCACACGGTAGGGGCATATTTAACGTTTAAAGAAAGTGCTACGTGGAGGGTTTGTTTTACATTCCCAACAGCCATGCAGGTGAATTTCAGTTCTGCCATAGCTTCAAAAGTCTCGGAAGACCCTTATTACTGACTTTGGAGATTAAAAAAATAAAATTCTGAATACATGTACCTTATCAAATAGATACTTTACAAATATTTTCAAGCAATGTGTTCCTTTTCTCTTTTTATTCTCCTGAGTCTTTTGATAGCTAACTTTTAACAGTGATGGTGGTTTTTCACTTATGGATTATGCTTTTCGTATTCTAGTTGAGAAATCTTTGCTTATCTCAAGTGTTTTAGCAGTAAAGCGAAAACCACAAAATGTTCTTCTGATCGCCGCTTCATGCATTCTCTGTACAGCTGGGTGTGTATGTGAAGAGCACGCTGCTGCTGCTGCTGCTAGGAGCCAGAGTCGGCGCTGACCCGCAGCGCCCGTGCACAACAGAACGAAACACTGCCGGGTCCTGTGCCCGCCTCACAGTCA